TTATTATTATTATAATCACCTCATTATCCATTATTAATTGTTATTAAACCAAATGAGTACAATAACACAACGTCTCTAAAAAATTGCTTAACGTTGTTCTATTTCTGACAAGAATTCATCGAAAGTTTTATTATTCAAAATATTGTGTATTAGAAAACCTTGGCAATATTTTAAAACAGTAATTATGAATTTATCATTTATTACATAAGTATCGCTTTATTCTAAACTGTTATTATAACATTTGTCTTTGTTTTGTTTTCCAGATCTAACCCAACTATTTAATAAACTGAATTACAATTGTTTTTTAAACCCTACTTTCCCAATTATTAAAAACCATAAATATTTTGTGCACAAAATTTAATTAACTTAAATGGGACTAACAATAAACAGATACTTTATTCTATTTTTTATTACATATATAAGCGGTACTCATAACAAATCAATAAAAATAATTTACAAAAGAATCGATATTATTAAAAAATATTAGTACAAAAATTTAGAATTTATAGAACCTATCATTGCAACGTTTATTCAAATTATTTGTGTATAAAAATAATGTGTTTTTAATTTAAAAAATATATGTATTGGTCGACTGAAAAATTCATTTTTGACGGTTTTCTATAAACATCTCATATTAGAAACATTGATCCATTGAAATATCTCAAAACTATAATATAAATCAAAAGCATTTCTATTAACATTTATTTGATACGCTACTGGATAATAAAACTAACAAACCCCGCTCTTCCCCTCCTAACAACTGGCTTGTATATGTTGCTTTCAAACAAACGCAATGTAAATTTTTGACATTCAGTTATCTATTATTATTTATTTATCTGAGGTAATAATTTATTTCAACTAGACCTTTTATTATCGCGACAAAAGTATAGCAACTCTTTGATTTGGTTTACAGGAAAAGGGTTTATGATACAGGTAAAGTTCTAAAATGACGTTTTTCAATTAAATTAAGCTTAACAGTTCTAATATTTACAGAATTAAATATGCCAAAAGGAAAACGAATCTGTACGGAGGTACAAGAAATGGTCGTAAACGCCTTTTTAGAAGGGAAGAGTAAGATTGCGAATTCCAAACAGTTCGACTTGCCCAAATATAGTGTCTCAAAAATAATTTCACGTTATAATGAAAGAGGACATGTAGAAAAAATGCCGAAATCAGGAAGGCCCAGGAAAACTACATTTTGGATGGATAGGAGAATCAAAAGAATTTCTCAAAGAGATCCGTGGTTGTCAGGACCAAGGATAATTGCTGAAATTTCCGAACTGGAAGTCAGTGCGAGGACTGTTCAACGACGATTAGTTGAGACGAAACTTTATAGCAGACGTCCTGCCAAGAAACCGTTGGTTTCTGAAAGAAATCGCCGTGCCAGACTTGAATTTGCGCAACAACATTTGAACTGGACAGTGCAAGATTGGGGAAAAGTATTGTTTAGCGACGAAAGTCGTTATAAAATTTTTAATTCTGATGAAATGAAGCGTGTCAGGCGTCCGGTTAATATGAGATTTCACCTAAAGTATGTTACGCCAACAATAAAGCACGGACAAGGTAGTGTATTTGTATGGGGTTGTTTTTCGTGGAGCAGAGTAGGCCCACTACATTTTATAGACGGAATTATGGATCGCTTCGTCTACAGAGACATACTCCAAAACGTTATGTTTCCCTATGCTCAGCGGGAGATGCCTTTGCAATTTATATTCCAACAGGACAACGATCCGAAACATTCGTCTCGCCTTGTTCAGGAATGGTTTCAGGAGAACAATGTCCAGGTTCTTAGGTGGCCGGCCCAATCACCAGACCTCAACCCCATTGAGAACCTTTGGGAAGAGGTTGAACGTCGTATTCGGACTACAAGATTCCCAAATAAACAGTCCTTAATTGATAAAATTAATGAAGTTTGGATTAATATGCCGGATATTACTATCCAAAACTTAATTTCATCAATGCCGCGCCGTTGCCAAAAAGTTATATCTAATAATGGATATCCTATTAATTATTAAGAATTTGTTCTTATTTTGTTTTAACCCTTCAACCATATTTGTGATTTTTCAGTTGTTAAATGAAATACAAAATTTTTTCATAAAAGTTGTTATAATTTTGTCGCGATAATAAAGGGTATTGTTGAAATAAATTATTACATACTAACTTATTTGACATTTGCAAACAATCCCATTTCACCTATCATAGCAGCCTATTATGACCACTTAAACTACATAAATTTTGATTCTCACGGTTGATCGTGTTATTTTAAATAATTAAATATTTGATTTTATCATAAAAGTTGCTTCACTTTTGTCCAATAGTGTATATCCGCACTTATAATACCCCACATGCATCTTTGTATTGTACATATTTCTTTTAGTTTTATGTATTAATATTTTTAAAGATAAAATTAAATTAAATCGCCATGATTTTCTCCGTAAAACAGTAAACAGGAAATTATTTCAATATTTTCATGATAAGTATAAGGTTGCAAATTCGATATTACTTGTCAATGTATTTTTTAGTTTTTTTCCTTAGATTTGCAACACTTTTGTTAATTTCGCAACGCAAAATTGCCCACAATCATTTGCACCAATGTTGGAGCGTTGCAAATTTGCATTTACAAATAGGAAGTTATTTAAATCGCTCTGTAAAATTTACAATAATAATAATAATAATAATAATACTCTCCCTAATTCACCCCCTTACGAGTGAATGTCAACCCCTGAAGTCGACTGAACGACTTGTGTAGGGGAAGGGACGGCTATTATTATTATTTGCCGTGGCGCTCCGGGGCGCCTTAAAGATGATTGATGGTGCCATTTGACTTACAGGTGAGGAAAACCCGGAAAACCTCACCCACCACCATCGAGACGGTAATGCATGGCGATTTTTTTTTAATCTGCCTGTCATATCAACAGAAATTGAATTTCTATTAATACGGCACACATCAAATCCTAAACCGAATCATGCAATTTAATTAAAAATCCACATGGTCTGGTCTGGGATTCGAAGCCCAGCAGTCTCAGACTCATAAACTTGCCTATAAATGAATATAAGCGCGTTAGACCGCTACACTACCGACCCGATACTTTTCCCAAGCTTGTTATGACTCACAAAATTGCTCATTTTGTTTTGAATTATCACCGTTTTGTTTATCTTTTGTTGGAAAATTATAAAAATGTACCTGGACTTAAACCGCTCTTTTCATCACAAGATGTACATCATATGTAAATTACAAGAAATAAATAAATAAATACAATCCCCTCAAAAAATAATAGTTGTAAAAATTATTTAAATTACGATTACTTATCATTTCTTGAGAATATTTTGTGGTTTATTCGGTAAATATGCATCTGAATTTCATGAAACAAAATTTTCCTTAAAATATTACGAGACGTCAGTCGAGTGGTATTTCGGGGGAGGATTTTATTGAGTAAAATTTGCATAATTTGTAATAAAACAACAAAATTACAGTCTATTACTCTGTTAGAATATACTATTCCGTTACTCTCGACCTATTCACTGACCCTGGTGTCTGGCTGCAAATAAGAAAGGGCTAAAACTTGTGTAGCCATACAATTCAGGTATTCGGGTAACAGATCGGGCGACGCTTCGGTCGCATTTACCGAAATTTTATAAGCAACAGGGCTTTGTAAATTTAAATGTAACACGCCATAATACTACCTTTCTCTGAAGACGACATATTCTCGCGATAACAAAATCGTGTACGCTAGATTCTATCGAAACTATTCCGACAAGTGAGGTGATAAAGACGACATCGGCAAGCTCTTGTTAAAATAGGAAATACCGCATACAGATACCACATTGACAAATATATTTTATAACTTCTTCATTTGTTGTTGGTAACAAAAAGAAAGGACTACAAGTGGTCGGGTAATTTCTGAAAGTTAGTAAGTCAGTGAATGAAACTGCTGGTAATGACTTTATAATATTCTCTGCCACATTAGAAAAAAATTGTTAAAATTAATTAGAAGTTAAAGAAACATCTAGAAAGCTAGTTTTAAATTTGTTACTTTCAAAGAGAAGAACATATGTAATTGTCATAAGCTGCCTTTTTTTTGTATTCTTTAAATGATAATTATAGTTTTTTCTGTATTGATAATATGCTGTAACATCATTAGGATCACTGCTAACCTCAGATATAATTTTTAAACTACACAAATTTTGCCTCATAGTCTTTAAGGAATCGTTATACCAGTTTACTGGACTTTTTTTTTATTTTAGTGGAGACTTTCTTAAGAGGAAAACAGTTGCAAATAATGCTGTTGTAGGTATTTATTAAGAAGCTAACACATTTACATCTAGTTCCGATTCAAAGATATCCCAACTGACCTGATCTAGGACTTTTTTCATTTTTAACATACCTGCTTTTGTTGAAACCCTTTTTTTAGTTAGTTTATTATTTTTTTGATAATTAGAATTTTCATAGATTATAATATATTGGGCTCGGTGGTTGGCAATAACAGGCTCAAACACCCTTAATTCGTAACTATTTTTGTAAAAATATTATCGATACAAAGAGCTGAATTTGCTGTTACCCAGGTAAAATCATTGATAATAACTGATAAATTAAAAGAAACTAAAACTGCTTTCAACTTTTTTATAGCCACATAGTTTGTTTTACAATCAATATTGAAGTCTCTCAATATTGTAATTCTAGTATAGCTATCCTGGACATGAACTAGGATTATGAACTGCCAATTATTCAATTATCTATGGCTTAATTCACGAAATACATTTGTTAAGTTAAAATCAAATTGTTGTCACTTCTGTGACACCAAGTTTAAACCAAGAATGTCTCCCATTCAGTGATTACTTTTGTACATCCTATTACTTTATTAGAATTAAGTAGTAGGTTAATTACTCAATTTTAATTAATTCTGAAATACATCTTTATAACTACTACACAAACGAATTTATAAAAAGGAAACTAGTACCTATTGTTTTTTCACAAAATGTTTATTTTTAAAGATACTTACTCCTACGAAGGGCATTCTGTGCATCCATGGTCATTGCATCAGCTTCATCTAATATGATTAGCTTAAAGCCGGACTTAAATATTGTTCTTGTACTAGCAAATGTCAATATTTGTCCTCTAACAATTCCTATTCCCCTGTCATCTGATGCATTTAATTCTAAAACCTAATTTATTTTCTATTATGTTCATAATTCTTAAAAAAAAAAAAACAACATTATTTTTAAGTTTAGAGTGTGGATTCGGCCTAACTAAGGATACCATTTGGTTGGTATGGAAATAAGTTGACCGAAGCCATAGGCGCCGGAATTCAAAAATCGCTGTGGGTGCCCGGCACGAAAATGGGGGCTACCCCCCCTCCATAACTCACTTAAAGGCACCACCGGTTTTTTAAAAAGATATATTAAAGTTGATCTTATGAAAATTATCTTCAAAAAAAGGTATTGTCAACTGTCCAATTGCTGGATAGGCTGGAGGCTCCCACATAAAATGGGATAGCTGGTAACCCTATATGCTCGATGCAGCCACCACTGGTATTTTGAAGGTATTTTTAAATAGATTATAACCCCCAAATTTTAAATCGCCACTGTCTTCCTAGACTAGGCATCTGACGCTATACCAACTCGGCGTCTATGACCGAAGCATTAGGTAAGGAATTAATATTTACTAATTAAAAAAATCAGTAAATAACAGCAAAAATCTATACTTTAGCACCAAGTTCAAAAGAGAATGGAACTTGGCTGCACCGTACTGATGAAGACCAATAGTCAGAAACACGTGTCTACGGTTTGCTTTTTTTTTATTTTTTGCGGTATTTGCCCAATAATCCTTTTATCTTTTATATTTTTTTACCGCACTAAACCTTCTTCTCTTTATCACGATATATATCATGATATTTATACCTTGATATATATCCGATATATTCGATAATTTTATTTATTAAATTAAAAATGTTTTCTACCATTCTGAACATCTGAAAATGTCTCAATACGCCCCTGTATAAAAGTATAATAACTAGCAATTTATATGTGTTTGTGTTAAAATATTAATGTTAACAAAATAATGTTAAAATCGGTTTATTTTATTAATTATTTTTGTTTTTTCTTCTAAACTTGAGTTAGAATAAACGGTTTTGTTGTTTAGAATATTCTATCTACCTATATAGGTTTTTGTTAGTATGTTTGTGTTAAAATTTAAAATATAGTTTGTGCAAGAAACAGTACTGTTTTTTAAATTTTAAAAATCATATATATCAGATATATATCATGTGATATGATGATATTTATATAAATATGATATTTTCGAACCCCGCTTTTTATTCTGGTTAAACACATAACCGATTAGATCATTCAATTGACGCAAGCCCTATTGGCTCAGATGGTTACAGTGTCAAATTTATCAACTTTGCCATTTGAGACCTGGCGAGCGACCGCGTTCAAATCCAGGCGGGGCCAGAATTTTTTTTTGTTTTTTTTATTTTATTTTTTTTTTATTTTTTTTTTTTTTTGTTTAGAAAATATGAAAATTGAATAAATACGATTATTGTTGATTATTTTTTTAAATACTATTTAATTATTATAATAACCTGGTTTTACATTTTTTTATGAAATTATTTTGTGGTCGTAGGAAAAATATTGTATATCACTTGTGTGAAAAGTGATTTTCCACACTCGTAATGAAATATACTATTTTATGTGTCTATCGATTTGAATGTAGAACTTACCATTGAAGAAAATTGTGCTGGAGTATATAGTTGTCTGGCACATGCTAGAATTGTACTTGTTTTACCAGTACCAGGAGGTCCATAGAATAACAAATGAGGCACTTGATCTTCTCGAATAAATTTGCTAACTATATAAAAAAAAATGTTTTATCAAATGGTTAAATTTGAAAAGATTCATTTAGTACCTTGGAGGTAAACTGCACTATGTCTCATTCCTAGTCAACTTTTCACTAGAGCAGATTGTATAGCAGGGACAGAAGTTGGAAAGGCTTCTGTCAGTTCTCCCACTTTATACACAGGATTTGACAGTTTAGACGCGGAACTAACCGAAGTGAAGGTATAGAAAATTATTTTATAAATGCTAATAAAAATTTCACGAAAATTGTGAATAGCTGTTGAAATTTTGTAGAATTATGATTTGGGATATTATTACTTGTTTAAATAAGTCATCTGACGGGGTTTGAAGTTTACCACCTCTCTACCTACCAAATGCATTTCAAACTTCTGTCCCTGCTATATGTTATTTAAATATTTTTGTGTTCCATAATTACATATTATTATATTCATTATATTTCGATAATAAATCTAACCAATAAAACTTCCTATTTTTTTTTTAATATTTGGATAAATTGTTGGTTTTTATGACATATTTCTATGTTATAGTAGCAAATTTTCTATGACATAGGGGTCTATTATGTAAAAATTTGGTTAAAATTAACTCTATGTCATAAAAATAAATTTGTTATTTTTAATTTTGTATTCTGTATATTATCTGGTTAAAATAACAATTTTTAATGATGACTTGGGCTTGATTTGAATGCACTTTTAGGTAAATTACATCATTGCCATGTCCATTTTAACTGAGGCTGGTTATAAAATAACTAATAACAGTACAACTTTACGCACGGTAGTAGAAAAAATTATTTTTCAGTATTCTCTGTTCTTAAAGAAAAACCCCACAGAGCTGGAATTATATGTTTTAGTTCAAGTGTGAACCCACCTATTGTTAATTTTTTAAGTGTTTGTTTATACAAATGCACAGCTGTGACATGAGGATTGCCAAAAAAGATACCAACATTAAGAATAGGTATTTGTATGTTGGAAAATGTTTTATACAGATTTACAGATTTTTAAAATTTCTTAAATAATATACCAAGAAGGCTAGAAATGGATATATTTATTGGTGACATTAATAATAATATCCTTGATCCCTCAAACCAAATAACAAATAGATGTTTGGCAATGTTATCTTCCTTGGGATTTGTATCATATATTAATTCATACACCAGGGTTACTGTAGAAACGAAATCATGTATTGATCATATTTTTATAAAAAATAATATGCCAAATAAAAATTTTTCATTTAAATCGTTGGTAATTGACACTGATCTAACTGATCATTTTCCATTTTTTTTTAAATATTACAACGAAATAAACTTTAACCATAATACATTAAACCAACATACAACACAATACACTGATATAGATAGATTTACAAAATTATTAGAAAATGTAAACAGGGACAACGTAATTTCTCTTAGCAATCGAATTTTGGCCTACCAGATTTTTATTGAAATAATATATTCCCTAAAAGAACAATGTAATATAACTAAATAGGCATAATACTTATAAAAAAATAAAACCCTGGATAAGTCAAGGCATCATCATGTCTATTAAACATAGGGATAAAGTGAGAAAGCAAATATTAAAAACCAAAAACAACAATCTTCTAAGAGAATATAGGATATATCGTAACCAACTAAATAAAATAATAAATAAAGCTAAAAATGATTATTATACATTTATTCAAATTCAAACTAGTAACAATGATATTAAAAAAATATTCAAAATAGTTAAAGAAGCTTCAAATGAACACCGAAACAATAAAACAAACAATGATTTTAATATTCTAAACAATAATAAACAATTTACAAATGTCAAAGAAATGGCCAACTACTTCAATAACTATTTTTCAAAAATTGGTATAGATCTGGCAACTAAAATCAATTCTGTAGATGACTTCCTAATAAGATATCCCACCTCTAATCAACACAATGACATTAAATCCTGTCAATAAAAATGAATTATTAGAATATATAAATTCGTTAAAAAATAACAGTGCTCCTGGGATTGACGGAATTACATCTAGAATGTTGAAAAATGGTCACCAATACATAATAGAGCCTCTAATGCAACATTATAAAATGTTTGAAAAATGTTTAAAAAAAAAGATTATACGAATATCTAATTGACAAAAAGATTTTAAATGTTAAACAGTTTGGGTTCCAAGAAGGTGTTAGCACTTGTGATGCCATGTATGAATTGATATTTAATATAAAAACAGTCTTGAGAATGAAAATAAAAATATAAGTGTTTTTATCGGTCTCGCGAAAGCTTTTGACAAGCAACTACAAAATGTTCTTGAACATCATGTCATTCGAGGATTGGTTTTAAAAATGTTTGAAAACTACCTACACGAGAGAACACAGATAGTTAAAATTAGAAATGAATTTAGTAATCCTGTAAAAATTCAAATAGGTGTACCACAAGGAACGTTCCTTGGTCCAATTCTTTTTATCATCTATATGAACTCTCTTTTAAACTTAGATATAAATGGTATAGCAATATCCTATGCAGATGACACCGTATTAATGTTTGAAGGTAAAACCTGGGAGAATGTAAAATCAAAAGTGGTTAAAGGGGTAAGAATTATGAAAGACTGGTTGAATTATAATAAACTATCTTTAAATATATCTAAAACAGTATATATATGGCATTCTCACTAACAGATGCTAATGGGCCTAACTTCAAACACATTTGTATTGAAGAATCCAAATTCATCATCAAAGAAGTGGAAAATGCCAAATATTTGGGAATAATAGTTGACAAAAATCTTAAATGGACTGATCATGTTCAGTACCTAACAAAGAAAATAAGAAAACTTATATATAAATTTTATTTAATTCTTAACATTCTAAATAAAAAGTTATTACACTTGATATATATTGCTCTCATTGAATGCTTAATTAGATATGGCATAATTGTATGGGGTGGTTTATATGACAATGCCCTACATCCTTTAAGTATCATTCAAAATTATATCTTAAAGACAATAAATCATAAAAGTCATTTGTTTTCAACAACCCTCTTATACAACGAATCTACTCCAAACGTAAGATCACTATACTTTCACTCCACCTGTATGTTCTATTTCAAACTGAAAAATAAAATTTTTGTAAACCACTCTTATATGACCCAAAAACAAAAGAGAAGAATGCTAAATGTACTATTCTTTAAATATGATGGAAATAAAAGATTAATTTCTTCAATTGGGCCAAAAGTATACAACTCTTTAAGTGAAAATATCAGACAAATAAAAAACATAAAAACCTTTTCTAAAGCGATCAGAAAATTTATATTTGATAAATATTTATACCTCTCAAATTTGTTATAAATACCTAGTCTTATATATTTATGTCCTTTAAATCATCAAATGTTTAGTTTATAGGTACTTATTGTTAATTTTAGGTAGTTTTAATCTATTTCTATTGCACATACAGATGTTTTTGCATCTAGATGCATATTTTAAGAATAATTTCTCATTGTAAATTTATTTGATTTTGTATTATAAAATGTTTATTCTTCTTCTTAAATAAAAAAAAATAAATAGTATAATCGAGAATTGAAATTTTTTTTTTTTTTTGATGCTACAATAATATCTTTGCATATTTAGTAGGTATTTAATTAAAACAAATGTTTTTTCTTCAAAAATTAAAACCTCCTGCTTTTCATTTCTGATAATCTGGCAGCCCTAGAGTAGAGCCATATGGGTTAGGATTTAACATCATAGTTATTAATAACCTTTTAAGTTTTAACCTCTAGCCATTAAAATTAACTATATGTCATATAGTCATATACCTCCAACATGCCTCTATGAATAATATGACTAACAAGAGAGTTAAACACACTATGTGTACATGGTGTTGTTTACCTTGTAAGTTTATTGAACATAGCGTTATATTTTTTGGCTTTATTGTAACATCACTATCACTAATACATTGTGTAGTATAACCCTGGAAAGGTTTCGATGAGCTGAGTTTAACAATATAACTGTTATGAAACTGCACTATGTTGAAACTTTTAAGTTTACCTCCGAGGTACAGTTAACAAAATTTGTGTGGGTTGCCTAAAAGTTTTTTAACCAATAAAAGAGATGCATAATTTTTTTAATATTCACAGAGTACAAATACCTATAGGTAAGTAGGGGAACTCTAGATAATTACAAGAGCAGCAGTTAAATTGTCTGCAGTTAAAATAATATTAATTTTCAAAAAAGCATACACATATGCAAAACGTACATGTTATGAACGGGAGAATGGCATAGTTTACTTGGTGAATAAAGAATTAAGATTATTTATGAGTTTTAAGGTTAAACGTTTAAAAAACTGAAATAATTAATATTTAGATTTCTGTCTGATTTGAATAAAATTGGTAGTTAAAATAATCACCTGTTTTTATAATATCTTCATGGGATACCAAATCATCAAGACTACTGGGACGATACTTTTCAACCCTTGAAAAATAAATGTTGAAAAAACTGTAATTCTCTGAATTTTAAACTTACCACGGCAAGTTAACTTTTTGTTGTTCCTTCTGGACCATATTTTACAGTTTTATATTAATTAATATTAATAAAAATACGTATACCACCACTTTACTATATAACTTTCTTGTTGTGTCTGTTATTATACCTATATTCTGTGATGATTATTTTGATATTTTGACAGTGAATCTGAATCTTGGCTTGGATTTGGCGCGAAATTTTATACTTTCGCACTATTTCTTCTTCTACTCTTCTTTAAATCTCCTCCTAAGTATGTTAAGAAACCAACTAGAGTATTTTGATTTCAACCATATTTCATCACCGATCTACGAAGTATAATTTTTATATTGTTACCATTTAAATTATTTTAAGATCTTTCTTAACATAATATATATCAAATGATTTCCATTGATCTATAAAATAATTTTTACAATACATTGTTTTTTTTTTATATTTATCTATTGGTACCTCTGCTTCTCTTCTTTTTTATAAATAATTTGACAGTCTAGTTTGACGTTTGTATTCGTTTTATTTGATTTATTTGACAGTGACACCCACAAAAAGAGCTTATTACATATTTTTTTAAACTTTCTTTGTTTACGAATCTGATTAGTGTTTATAAATGAAAACGTTTGATTTGTACTTTATCATTCAATATATATAAGAAAAGAGACATGAGTCACTGTCATTATCATTAAATTTAGTAATAATTTGTCTTAAAGATGTATGAACCAAGGGAAACGTCTGTGAATAATACCGATAGTGACACAGAAAGTATTTATGAAGATGAAGATGAAACAACTAGAATTTTACCACCTGAAGGTAATGTATTAAATATTATAGATTTATACATTAAATATTTACAATTTACGTTTCAGTTGAAGACACAAAGGAATGTTTAAAGTCGAGACATATTTTGGGTATACTAGGTTTTTTAGGATTCGCTAATGTATATGCTATGAGAGTAAATTTATCAGTAGCTATTGTTGCAATGGTTAATAGTACCCAACCTATTAGCAACACAACATTTGATCACTGCCCAGTTTCTAACTATACGAATTCCACAGAGCCTGTTGTAAGTTTTTATTTATTAAATACATTTTGATAATTCATAAAAAAGAGAATGTTAGGTTAGGTTGAAAATGTGTGGGATGATCTCATCGCCTTCCACTGGGACCCAGATGGGTATATTGTAGTTCATGACTAACTTATAGTTCACCTTACAATCCACACCTTTTGATAAAGGCCATGGTTGAATTGGATGAGACTTGTTTAAAGTCGGGTAAATCCCAAGATCCGGAACCTGGTTCTTTCCAGAGCGGAGCAAGTACATAAAATGTGCTCTGCAGACTCATCTTTCACGCTGCAGAATGTTAATCAAATGATTCATTCAATGAGGCAAAGTCCTTTAATTTTTTGTTCTTATAGAAAAATATTTTAACTAATGATTTCAATTTCATAATACTATGTAGCTACTTACTCTTTTTATATTAACAAATTAACATATTTACTGCCAACAAGTATATCAGGTGTTGGCTACCCAATTATTTAATTAAACTGAATACACATTTTTTTATGAAAAGTTATGTACTTTTAAGAAAAAAAGTAGGTACTGTGTTTTTAATGGAAATTTCATAAATATCAACTATTGATGTCACTTTTGTTACTTGGTTTTTTTGTATAACAATTTATTTAAATTGTTTTTAATATGAGATTAACATAGATTAACCTTTTCACTGTGGACAGCGTCAAAAGATGCCCATGGCTTCTATAGTAGGAGATGAATGGCATCTTGGAATGTCCTTTACAGTATCTCTTATAATGCTTTAGTAAATCGTCAGCATTTCAGCCACAAAAGTGATGGGCTGTCCCCAGCGAATTGGTTAAGAACAGTCTCTACAGATAAATTTTAAATATTATTAAAAATCAATATTAAATGCAACTTTACATTTACCTAATTGCAGCAAAAATATCTGAAATAATAATAAATAAACCCTACATTAATTACTATTATTCAATATACACTATTTTAACCAATGTATCCTTTGAAATAAAGATAAGATGCTTAATTATATTTGCACGTGAGTGAAATAAATAGAAACTCTCGTGAATCGGCTGCCTGTCTGTTGTGATTGAACAGATGGATACACCTCTACCATTAGTGGGTTGGAGTGCACTGTTCCAACTCTTATCTAATCAATGGCATCACTTATTCTATACTGTTCTCCTGGCATCATTGTATGTAACTTAACATACTGTATTAGAAAAATATTCCAATCAGCACATTCAGAAATGTTTTGAAGTAAAAAGAAAGGATTATTTAAATGCATTAAAAATTAAAATATTTCTAAATAGTTTAAAATGAACTTTGTAACTTTGATAATTATGTCACAGATATTTAGTTACCTGATAACAATGATTTATACTATATCATGAACTAAAATAATTAAATGTTTATTGAAAAATTACTTATTTTTTTTTTAGTCAATTTGTTATCAATATATGTATTGTATATAGTCTTATTTATATCAACAATGAAACCATTTTTAATATTCATGACATAATATCCATGTTTTATTTGAAAAACATTTTTTAGGGACAATTACTGCTTATCAGTAGATTGCCTTGTGACCAATGAGCTCTTAACTAGGATTATCCACTCATTATTTTCATTATTTATATAATTGACAACACAGCCCTTTAACATTTTTCCTTATTTAACTAGCAATTATTATACTGTGTCAGTATTATTTATTATACATAATAATAAATATAAATAAAAACTATTTACTTATAGAAGTAAACAAAAAAAACGTGATAATATAAACAAAGTTAATATATTGATAAATACTGATGTACTTATTTTGAAATAAAAATACAATAAAAAAACAATAACTAACAATACAACAAAAAGTCAATGAGAAATAAATGTTATTCACTTGATTCCATCAAATTAATGAAAAGTTTTTTTGGAGTGCCTAGTAAACATTTTCTTAAGAGATTTTTAAAGATATTTACATTTTTTATAACTCTAGGGAGTTTGTAATACATTCTGGTGCTAAGAGTATGCTCTTTGTGAAAATGTTTTTCTTTCAAATTGATGGGTATGTAGATCCCTTTGTTTGGAGGCTGTTCTTTATGGTCACTAAAGTGATATTTAATGATCCATAATTTCTGACATATTCTACAGATGATTAGTAGAATACCTGGGCTGTTATGACTATTTTTATTACTCTTTCCTGGAGAATCTCAACTTAAGGGATTTATATGGGTATGTGCTACTGCACTCCATATCAGTATTCCGTACCTCAGATGACTCTCCATAAGTGAAAAATATAATTGTTCTAAAAAAATACCTAAATTTTCGATATTTATTTATGGTGATGTTTCTAAATAGTCATATAAAATTTGACAAAATTTTACCTTGGTCATGTTAGCAAGTAGCCAGCCAGCAATAAATCCAGAAGTAGGTCAAAGCACCAGCAGTTAGAAATTAATCTTCAACAACAATTTATTTTAAATTCGGACATAAAGATTATATTAAAGCATTATTATTGTATTCATAAGTTTTATTACCCTTTCCCAAAATTATAGATATTTAGATTATTCCCTTTGTATAAGAAAAAGATTGGTGTAACTAAATTCTAAAAAAAAAGCAAATTTTGTTCTAGCATCAAACATTTTAAAATTTCAACCCCCTCCAAATCCCTCATTACCTGTAGAGGATTCGAAATGGTACAAGAAAAAGTTGTTTGTTTTTGTATTATCTATCGATTGGTGTAACTAAAGAAAAAAAAGTGTGATTCTAGCAATTCAGTCCGTCCGATGTCACGTTTTTTGTCCGCACGATAATATCAATTTAAAAATTTCAGGAACATTCAAGCTCTATGAGCGCACGAAGCCTATTGATTTTGAAAAAAATCTGAGTAAAAATGAGGGATTCAGGGGGGTTGAAACATTAAATTTTAACTTGTAATTCAGAACAAAAATAAAGCTTTATAAGAGGAAGAAGCCTTTTGATTTTTAAAAAATCTGATTAAAAAAGGAGGATTAAGGGAGTTGAAATTAAAAAAAATCTTAAATCAAAAACGAAAAGTGATATCAACATGAATTTTTTAGTAAAATTCAAGATCTATAAGAAGATGGAGCCTATTAATTCTGAAGAAAATCTAAATTGAAATAGGGGGTTGAGGGAAGGTTGAAATATTGAAAAAATCCTAACTCGGAAACGTAAAACGATATCAAATTGAAATCTGGAAAAATCAAGCTTTATAAAGGGATGAAGCCTATTGATTTTGAAAAAAAAATCTGTAAAAAAGGGGGGACAACTTGAAATTTTTAGCAGAAAACATGCTCTATAAAAATAAAAAGGCCTCTGATTAAAAATTGGGGATTTAAGGGGGGGTTCAAATTTAAAAATCTTAAATCAAAAATGAAAAGCGATATCAACATGAAATATTAATTAAAAATCAAGCTACAACAGAATGAAGCCTATTGATTCTGAAAAAAAAAAAATTAAGTAAAAATAGAGGCATAAGGGGAGGTTGAAATATTAAAAAAAATCCCAACTCAAAAACGAAAAAAGATCAACAAAATTTTTAGCAAAAATCAAACTATAATGAGACAAAAGTTTATTGATTTTAAAAAAAATTGTGAACAGAATGGGGCGGGGGTTGAGGGGGGATGAAATAAAAATATTATATAAATCAAACACCAAAAACGGTATCAACATGAAATTTTTAGTAAAAATCAAGCCTATTGATTCTGAAAAAAAACTGAATCAAAATGTGGGGATAAGGGGGGTGAAATATTGAAAGAAATCCTAACTTAGAAATAAAAAACCGAAATCAAATTGAAATCTTCAGGAAAAGGGAATGAAGCTTATTGATTCTGAATTTTTAAGCTATTGCATAGCTTTTATCGCGGGCTTTGAGCGTAACACCGTAACGAAAAAAAAACCTAACATCCCCACTCCGACCGGCACAGCGGTGCAATATTAACTTCTCATTTATTCAATAAAAGTAAATCGAAAAACCAAAAAATCGAAAAAGAAATTCCGTAACGAAAATAAACCTAACACTCCCCACTCCGACCGGCACAGCGGTGCGGCGTTGAAAGCCGTGCATCGTCTAACGTCGTTTCAGTTCGGCAGACTTCGGCACGGTGTTTGTGTGCGTGCGACTAGACGTATGCGTGTAGACTAGCTGCTAACTATAACTGATTCTATCTCTTTTAGACACAATTTCGGAAAAATTGAATTTGAAAATGAATAATGATCTACAAGAATCCACAACAAAATATGGGACCACCATTGACGCGGTATTTTCCAGATATTTAGAGGATATCAAGTCTCAAACTTATGTTTCTTATTTCAGTTACCATAAACCTATAGTTTCAATGATAAAAATTCCTAGGTGAG